ATATATACCTTGTTCGCAACCATTTTCAGACTGACGTTTAGGCCTACAGTCACTCAAGTTGTCGCGGTCCGTGTACCTATTTGGAATTAGCTATACACTGGCTTGAGAAAGCACACCCAACTTCAGTCGGGTCGGGGCTGAGATGAGAACATTACAGAATATTAATAAGCCTACAGCACCCACGATAAAAAAGAGACTAATTTTATTACTTTAAATCATCTAACTGCCACCACAACCCACAAAATAAAAATAGAAAGCAACCCATTATAAGATTATGGTAATGTAGAATTTTGAAGTGAACGACTGTATTAAAACAAGGAGGTATTAAAAAATAGGATCGTTTGGCCTATATGTTTTGGTTGGTTTAGCGGCATAAAAAGGAGTGTTTTTGACAGCATTGTGAATTAAAGCTCAGTGTCACGCAACCCGTTGTCCGCGGACATAGGACTCATTGGTTGACCGAAAATTATTTTCGCTGTCCCTCACACGCCAAGTGTCCGTGGGTGGTCCGCGAGAAATATAAGTGGTCCGCCAAAACTTAAGTGGTCTGGTGTAGTATATATGGCACATAAAACCACGAAAAAGGCCATACTATTTTAATTTGACATTCCTTTCACACTTAAACGTGATACGCAATTTATTGCAATATATTGGGTTTGTTTATTGGCTGGGTCGGTCTCGCGTACACTCTTTGACGTGGCCGCTTGGGTGATGTTTACACGGAGCATATGAAAGAGGGTAAAGCCAAATTTCTAAAAAAAAATATTAGCGATGTGAGTAGGCTCAAGGTAGCCATTTGAATTTTGAAAATGTCCACATTACCCTATAGCATTCATTCTGTTGTCATCATTTAAAAATTTGCTTCGTAAAATATTTGAGTTGATAATAAATTTCCCAAAGACACTATCATTTGATTTTTTTGCCTTTATCATTCAGGGTTTAGGCTTACTTCATCAAAAAACTCATCAACTATATTGCGCTCAGAAAAACTTACCGCAGACGGCATAGCAGAAATTGTTTCTCATAATGTATTCTATTTGTGCGGCATAACCACTGGCATCAGCGGCGCAGCAAGTTTGTGACGGACCCTCAGTGCAAGATAACTACCTGGCCCTAAAAGGCACCTGATCGGACCCAAAGACAGAGCCTTGGTGGGGTCTACTGAGGCAAAAATCTCTTAGTGTTTATACATTCTGAAATTGTTTAAAACGGATACGGCATTGTAAAGAGCATAAATATCTATAGAATATTCAAAAACATGTTCAAGGATTTGGAGAACAAAATATAGTAAAGCTAGTCTCATATATATATTTTATCGTTTAGATTGGAAATTCCATGAGTCTCTTAAATATAATATTGAAAACAATAAAACAATCACTGACCTGATTTCAGTGAAGTCAAACGTAATCATGTTGTATGATGACCTGACGTGATTCAAAAACGTGCACAATATTGTTAACCAACTTTAAAATAGGCCAAAACAAACAAAAACATGCGTGCCGATATTTCAAATGCTTTAGGAATATGCTTTCAGAAAGTATTTTAGTGCATCGTACCGTGGTGCGCAACATACGTTTTTTCGCTTCGCAAAATCTCCGATAGGAATGTGAATGCGCATGAATCGACGCTTTCGATTCACGCGAATAAATTCGTCTAGTGGAAAACCAGCTTTAATACCTATTGGAAGAAAATAACTTTTATTGTATTCGTAACAGATACGAAGCTGTCCATGGCATTTTTTTAACGTCATCCTACTTGTGTTCGGTGGCACGTACCGTAACACTCTAGTTAAATTTTTAAGGAGTATAATCTATAATTATGGCCTCTAACTAATAATATTGAGAGGAAAATTTAAGTTTTAATTTTTAAAGTTATATTTTTAGATTTATATACCTAATGAAGGGCCCCCAATAGCACCGGCCCCAGTGCCTATACTTTGACTGGCATAAATGATGCTCTCCCTACAGGGGCGGATCCAGAGAATTTCTGATGGGGGGCACAAATAAAGTTCACGTCGCCACGCCCACCTCAGGCCCACCATGGCTGGTGTAAATAAGTGGTAAATATCGAGCTCTCCTTTCACCCACTGCTGGATAACCACTGCACTCAGAGTCATGGATGCATTCCTATTTTTCCTCTTTTCTCTCTTTAAAAATTGTATTTTTCTGCTTGACTGGACGGGGGAGGGGAGCACGGGCTGGATCCGCCACTGCCCTATGTCAGTATAGGTCCAAGTAATGACTTTGAATATGAGGCTAGTAGGTGGTCCGCAAATTCGTTCATGGTGTAGGAATTAGTCCCCATGGCCGAGAAACGTTAAACACAGGATTAGATGGTGCGCTGAATGGTTGTCTAAGTACATTATAATAGGCCTTTAAACCGGTGTATTTTACGTAATAACCGCGGCTTTGTTGGTGCATGGTCAGATGACCACTGAGATAGAACTATTACTAAGATACCACAATCTTGACTTCCGAGTTGGACTTCGGTATTGTATTGTTATAACGTTGTCGAACCATGGTTGAACTAACACTCGCGTGCACTTCAGTCAGAATTAACGAGTTGAGTACTTTATCTTGACCTGATATTCAGCGATTTCAGTAGGCCTATCAGGGACCAAGCGCAAAGGTAATGCTTTAATTACACATAGGCCTGTACTAATACTTGTGGTTAAACGCATCATATCACTGGTATTTTTTTACAATAGTTCATCATAATATATATGCATATAACTCAGGGCCGTATATATTATATTTGTCTGTATTGTATTAGTTATACGGCTTACGATAGGAAGCACAAACAGGATAGTTGAGCTATTATTATAAGGCAAAACAGGACCCCGAGCTCCCTGCCTAGCAGTCTAGGTTTTTTTTCTTACAGACCTGAACATCTAAGCTTTTATTTATGTATACGCCTATTCTCTGGAAACACGTCAACACAGATTACCCACTGTTGTAAGATGGTTACGACTTTTATGCATATGGGTAGAAAATATGCAAAATGATCTTATGAGGTGTCAGGAGTGGCGCCAGGATTTTCCCGACGGGGTCCAATGTCCCCGACGGGGGGGGGGGGACTCCCCGAGTCCCCGACGGGGGGGGGGGGAACTCCACGACAAGAACATAAGTGGGTGTGGTCGAGCGTCGCTCAAAAATGTCTCGGGAGTAATCCAGAGGGCCCCGAATCTATGACGATTTAGGGGTTTCAAAGGCTTTTTTAAACCTTTTTAGAATCTACTCTAAGGCTTTTTTTTTTTTTTTTTCCCGACGAAGTGTACTTTTATCCCCGACGGGTCCCCCTCCCCAGCCAATCCCTAATATTGTGGTCTAAAAACTCCCCCTTACAAGTTTATATTCTGGGCCGTCGACCGAGGCTTCGTCGACCCTTGTCGGCAAATTTCTGGCGCCGCCGCTGAGTCTAACCCCTTTGACTAGTGACAATGGTTGCTTGTGTAAATATTGTGACGTGTGCTCCATGGACTCATATTTTTGAAGATTGTATATAGCCCTACAGTTTTTCACTTCTTGTATATAATACGAATTCGATTCTGAAAATAAATAAAGTCAATCAATCATATAATTTCGAAGTACCTATGGAGTTTTCCACCATTTTCTCAACACCACAAGGCTATGCTTAATATAAATATTCCTGGATCCGCCCTTAACTAAGTGTACAAACGAACTCTCCACCACATATCGTTGAGTGCAGTTCTCTGCTCCTGTTCTTCGGTGCTAGACGTACAGTAAAACCTATTACCATCACGTAACATGGCCAATGAAACAAACTACATAGAAGCAGGCGTAGAGGCAGCAGAAAGACTACTAGGTATATACAAGGACAGTGAAAGCTGGAGGGAGACTAAGAAGACAGTAAGTACAGCTAATAATGACTTATTTCTTATTTAGTTCAACTTTATCTGATAGGCCTATATGGGGGAGGGGGGCTCATAAATAAAAATATATATTTAATTTAATACTTAAATATACGTGGAAAGCATTCAAATCGGTGGGATACGTCATATGTCTTCAGATGGGACTAAAAGAATCAAACGTTTGGTGATTGAGCGAACAGTTTTGTATTAGGCCCTTTTGACGAACATGATAATGAAAGACCTTGAACTTATTTTGTTACTTTTTACTTTATTTGTTGTAATACTCTATAATAATGTTTGTCTTTACAGGAAGATATCATTGTATACGGCAAGCAGTCCACAGAGTTCGGTGGCCACATGTAAGCATTGTTTTAGTAAACTGTTTTCGATAAACCAAACGTTTCGTAGCTAAAAACTCGAAACATTCTTATTCAAAAGGCTTTTTCAATCGCTTTCAATTTTCTTTCATTATTTCTTCCCCTCTCATATGGGTATAAAACAGCGTTTAGTCAAAGAAAATTTGATAATAGGGACAAAACTGCTGGTGTTCAAAAATTGTTCAACAACAATAATTATAATCAAATTGGTAACAAACTACGCCAGGAGCGGCGCCAGCCGGGGGGGGGCCGGGTGTGGGGGGGGGGGGGAGATGGTGGGGAAAAGGACCCCCGTCGGGGAACTCTAGGCCACCGCTTAGACTCCCCTGTCGACGAATTTCTAGCAAGGTCGTCAGGGAAAAATCAACTCGATCGCTAAAAGTGCAATTCAAGCATGCCTTACTAAAGTATGGAGAAGCTGACAAAATTTAGGGATTAAAAAGCAGTGCTACCGTATGTGCGAGGACCGCGCGCTGTCTGTGATCTGTCTCTTATACACATCTAGATGTGTATAAGAGACAGCCCTTGGACCTACTAAGATGATTTGGTCCCAACGTTCGGGTGTGTACCTCCTTGTCAGGGAGCTTGGACCCCTTCTCGGGAAATTCATGGCGCCGCCTCTGAACTACGCTGATTCGATAACACGGTACTGTAAGTTCATTCGAAGTCAATCACCCGACATCACATTTTACCTCATGATTTCAGATATAAAGCTGAACTTGTCGTAGACGGTGCACAGGATGTTGCAATGAAGACTTGGCTACCACATCCATTGGGAACAAGGATGGAATGGGACAGTTTCCTGGAATTGTGTGAAATCATTAAAGATTTCGGTGATGTAAGTTTATCCGTTTAGGAAGTATACAATCCCAAAAACATTCATCATTATTAAGTATATTTCTATACAATTCAACTCATAAATATATTTATAGATAATATCATTTCATTCTGCAAAAAAATGAAACAGAACATAGTTACGGTACTGAATAAAATGGAATAATTAACAAACGTGTTTTAGAGATAAATAAAAAACACACGCCACATAAATACCGCAAATGCCTGTTATTTTATTTTTTTTCTTGTAGATAAAATTCATGGTTTCATAATCTTCTGTTAAATGCAAAGTCAATATATTTTTTTGCAACAACAATATGATACAATACAAAAAGTTTTATTACAATCTTAAAGACCAAATTGATGTCTAACTAAGTATTAACCAATTTGTTATTATTTCATTATCTTATATCATGATTTTTTTTATATATCACAACGTAAACGTGTCTCTGGAGAAGAAATATTCATTATGCTTTATGATTCCTTCATCAAAATTTGATTTTTGGTACTGAGGTATGGGGCAGTTACGTACCAGTTGTATAAGTTAGATGCTGGGCCAGAGTTTGCCTATAGCAAAATGCAAAATAACGTATCTAGTGCATTAATATATTTGTGCTATAATGCTAACACAATTAATTTCGATTTTATTTTAAGGATACAATGATCATGCGAACAGTTTCTAAGAGCATAGCAATGGGCTTGATATCAAAACGCGAATTCTGTGACATCGTAAAAATCAGCCATTATACCGATCTACAAGCTATAAGTTCCAGTTGTTATAGCATAGAATACCCGGACTGCCCAATCCAAAGCAGCTACGTACGTGGTAAAAACTACGCATGCGGAGCGTTCTTTCGAGCAGTGTCGGGGTAAGAAGAGTTTGATGACATTGTTGGATTTATCAAAATACTAAAATCAGTAGATATGTGTTTAAATATCGCTTGTTTACAATAAATAAATTTAGACGCGTTTTGATGCAAATGCAAGAAGCGCCGCGCTTGTTCCAGTCACAGACGTCGATCACACTTGATCAACGATCAACATTTGGGTGTTGACCAGGACGAATGATAACAAACACATACAAAAGAAGGCTTATGTGAAACAATAGAGTAGAATAAAGCCTTTGCGTCGTGGCTTTGGTGCGTTTACGATTTAAGCACAAGAATGAGAACCAAGCTTGTCTATCATTTTAAATGTCCAGGCTGCAATAGTGATTATAATCACTAGGGATAGAACATGGGATGATTATGCATTGAACAAGCAATGTAAATGAATGCATACCACCAACACTATTACATAATGTTGGTATGCAATACATATAAACACATAGAAATATGACTTTTCAGAAATTTTTTACTTTTTTCTTGCAGTGAAGAAAACAAATGCGAGATGACGTACATTGTGCAATCCGATATTGGCGGTATGCTTCCAAGGACTCTAGTGGATAGCGCGGTACCAAACAACATGGTGAAGATGATGCAGACGTTCAAATCAGCAGTAGCCAATAAATAAGCGTTTATGAAAATCATCGAATTAAAAAAAGCAATTGCAACTGGGAATATTAAAACACATATACCTTTCCTAAGCACATAACGTTGCCACATTAATTTCTATCCATATTATGGCTAAGTTAAAAAATTCCACGGGGAAGGTCTGAACAAATTTTCCTAGGAACTACAGTGAAGGTCACAGAGTAAGACCAGTGGTAGCCATATTAAGGGAAGAGATTATATAGTGTGGGATAATAAAAATTGTGCTTTTATATTTCAGTCCAACGACCTCAAGTACCATCCGATGACAGTGGTCTATGATTATTGACTATGTGGTGGGGGTGGTGGAAGGGGAATGCATGCACAAATGTATTTGTCAAGCACAACATAATAACTTAACATTGTGTATTTAACATTCATAATGAGAAATAAAAATATGAAAATCATTACTACATTGTTCTACATTATTTTTCATTTTTACAATGTGGTATTCATGAAAAGAAAACAGTTTAACCAGTCAATAAAATAAGAGAAACCTCACAAAAATTCCGAGTTGATTCTTCATCCATATTTATTATTCATTATTATCAATTACGTCATATTTTCATCTTGAACGACAATACAAAATTTCGAGAAAGAGTCGATAGTAAAGAGCCTGGGAATACAACATTTCGAGAAAGAATCACTAGTAAATCAGCTATCTCACCAGGTTTTATATTTTTTAGTCGCTTATATTTACAATGGTTATTGGTCATGCATTTCTATAGCGTAGGTTCCACATTAAAAAATCATCTCAAAGCACTCTTTAAACCACTATACAAACAAAAACCAAAAACCTACTGTGCCAAATGGTTTTTGTATCACATTTGGACTGTCTTTAGTTTTCCATGCCTCAATTAGTCAATGAAAGTTTAACTTTAATCTTTACAAAATAGCGCTTTACAAATGTTTATTACCTTAGGACAAAAGTGAAGACTGATATATGGCGGGTTTTGACCAAGTTATATGCGACCTTACGCCTGGTGTTGTTACCCTATTAACTTTTATCCTGTCTTAAAATGAGTTACCTGTTCTCTTATTGGCTGCAATGCACGGAGAGTTCAAAGTTGATAATGAAATATGTTATTGTGAATAGGTTTTAATGTCTAATTATGTCTGAAGTTTAAACGTGTGGTATTAATTGGACTAATGCCTTCCATTTTTTATTATATGCTTGCCTCTTCCCAACCCCACATGCAAGCCTCCTATCCTTAACATCTATTGCTTGGTCTGCTATGCTAATATACCTACATCTAGGCTGATTATCTCTTTCATATCCTCTTCAGTCGCAGGCCTGTTGCTCACTCCGTCAGGCCTATGTATCTACATCCAAGCCTCCCATCCCTGCCATATCCGCCCCAGTGTATTGGGATCCGTGGCTTGGTCTATCAAACACGCTACTTGCGTTTCAACACTTAGGTCTTTGTCAGGTTCCCTTGCTCGCTGATTGTACTTTTGGTCCCCCTTAGCTACCGCCTTGTACGAATTACACACAGCCTTCGTGCTGTGACCAAGATGCAGTTCATTCCTGTTAAGGTAATAAATCAGTGGTGTTTTAAAACCGTGTTTGCATTGGATTAATTTTGACCAAGACAAAGCTTAACTCTACAATGGTAAAATCATTCTACGTTGCAATTTAATTCTGTGCTCACACAGTGAACAGCGTGATTACTGGCTCAATAAAATTATCACATGGCTTGGGTAAATCGAACAATATACACAGGTGGTTTTCAGTCAAATTGACAGACTAGATAAATGGCTAGTTTGATTTTTTAAAATCCAATCTTGAAAAATAGTTATCTGCCGCATATTTTCCTATTTTCATTCTTGTTTACCTTGTTATGTATGCTGGATTAGCCCCTTTAAACTTGGCTTTTGCATAGCTGACTTTTTCTCTGGGGTACCACGACATATCCCCTCCGTCTTGCTCATCATCATCCCTTTTTTGCGTAGATGCTTTTTGAGCAAATTCCTAAAAGAAGGACATTTAGTTAAACACTTAAGCAAGTTCTCAAATATCTAGAAAACAATTAAATTAGTGGCTTTTTAAGTTATTTATTTCTGTTTGCATGATATTTTATGAATACAGTATTATAATAATAAAAGTGGTGGTGGTGGGTGAAGGGGACTGACTCGCCCCCCCCCCTATTAAATCCGCAGCATAATCGATTATGTACCCTTATGTTTGCCTTAGGCACACCACAAATTTGTAGAGGTGCCCATGTTTGCTTCATTTGTGTACTGTGGTTGCTGTGGTACATGTAGTTTAGCAGATCTACTGTAGTCTTTTGCCGTCTCCCATTTCTAAAAATTTCTGTTTATAGTTGTTTTTAGTTGTTCACGAAACAACATTATGTTTTATACTTACTTTCCAATCCAGAGAGGGTTCCTTGATGAATACGTCCATCGTGTTGAGCAGCAGATCGTGGTTGTTGCGTATTGCTCGTAGCGTGTGACACATTGTCTTCTGCAGAAGACCATCTTGATTGAACGGCAGCAACAGGTTCATGATCTGCCGTGTCAACCGAAATGGAACTAACTCAGGAATTGCTAGGAACTACGGAAAAAAAATTGTACAAGATTTGAAGTATTTTTTTTCTCATTTCTAATATTAAGGAATTCATAATTCTTTTCACAATCTAGTTGACCTCATACTAAATTAGATTAAATATCATAAACACCTGTGTTTAAAAATAGTTTAGCAGATAGTAAGAAATTGAGCTGTTGTCCAGATAAGATACTTCTCTTTCAACGCTCGTGGTCAGGTAAAACCTGGCGGTTGCTAACGACAATCGTGGTTATGGTCAGAATATCTAGATAGTCCCTATTTAGTCATATCTATGTATATTCATGATGCATGCATATAATTTGCATATTCACCTGCGTTGCTGATCCAAACGCGTGTCCAAAATCAATGCCTATCATTCCACCAGTTTCCATATCAACAAGGAAGTTGGAAAGATGCCGATCACCGATGCCTAACAGATACTGGCAGATGCAGAGGACACTATGCGTGCGCGTAAAGTGCGTCTTCAAAGTTAGAAACGCTTCCGGTGTGGAGCTCAGGGACATAAATGCCCGCCTTCAATAAACAGACACGATTGTGAATTGGTTATGGAGAGACTTTTTTATAGCTTGTTTCGAAAAAAATATTTTTTTAAAGATCGTCAGAGGAGGGCGGAAAAAAAATTAAACAAAACTTTGTTTTCTTATTTAGCAAATATTTTTGCCAAAAACATCCAGATTGAGGAGAAAATAAAAATAAAATTTTATTAGTGAATGTAAACAGTGTAGTAATGAGATGGTTAAATGCTTCAAATTTATATAATTAGGAAGAAATGGTGGCAGGCGTAATAAAAATAAAGAAATATTTTTATTTTTTTGTTGGCGCGTTCACTAATTGGCCATAAATAAAATTATAATTTTATTTGAAATCATCATTGGCAGGCGGCAGGTTTCCTAAACAAGGTATAAGAAAAGTCAACTCTAATCTAACAGCAGTAACTTACAAAGTAAGAAGTTGCCATAAATAAACAACAAAATACAATAATAATAACAATAGAAAAACAAAAGAAATAATATTAATACAGTAATTATAATTCAAAACAATAATATTAACAACAACAATAACAATAATAATCCTTGTATAGGACCTGTGGTAAATAAAAAAAACAAAACCAAAATAATAAAAATAACAACATATAATAATAATAATAATAATAATAATACATACATACTCCAAGTATTTCAATACTTGGAGTATGTATTATACTTTCTTATCTGAGATTAATCAGTGGACCTTTTGGTTTTTATAATAATAATAACAATAGAAAAACATTAACATAATTATTAATACAGTAATTATATTTCAAAAAAACAACAACAAAAACAACAACAACAACAACAACACTGTGGAAATTGTCCCTGGGGAACCACGGCAGCCCCAGTTTAGTGCCACCTGACTTAAACTACAACATACAACTACAACATTTTTATAAAAGACCTGAATTCAATACTCGGCTGCAAAGCCGGTCCTCGAACACGGGCCCTGGCGTGCAAGAGGCAGGAACCATACCAATCGGCCAAACGCTGATTGGTATTGTTAATAATATCAACAATAACAACAACAGTAATAATAACAACAAACCTGAGTAAGTCTGGAGGAGCCTGGGATTCACAGTCTTTGAGGCACAATTCAGTCTCTGTTCGATTTGCTTTGCTAAAAAAACCAATAACAAAAGCCACTGAATTACTATTAAATTAGCAAGCAGACATGCAGATTCAAGTAAAGTGTAATAACATTATAGTCGCCTTCCCATTGAACACCACTTTTGGGACTGAGACTTCCATGGTCTTTAGCAGCTTCGATCTCAAATTAGAATAATAAATATATAAGACATTTGTTAATATGGGACCACAGAAAAGTGGCGGTAGACATTAATTGAAGGAGGTCTTTAATTAGTGGGATTCACTTCTATATTTATTATGCTGACAATAAACAGTCACTGAATAGTTGTCACCGAACTGTGCTTCTATACTACGCTCTGAATGCTATGAAGACTGTCTGTGAGTTACCTATGTGCCCACAGATATGATGGCTACGTCATCTCCACATGGAGGGGTAGGCACCACTCCATCTCTTTTGTAGTTTATAAGTGTCTTTTCATTTAATGGAAAAAAAGTTTGGATTCATGATGACAAATCTCCCTGTGCACTGTTTTCTGCCAAAAAAACATCTTCTAAACACTTCTCAAAATGAGGTTTACTTACCGTAAATGCTCGAATAAGCGCCGCACCAAACCCGATTTTTTAAGCTAAGCGCTGCTCTTGAATAAGCGCCACGGCGCTTAATCGATAGTAGGCCTATATATTAACCTGTGTGCAATGAAACACTTTAAGAAGCAGGGTTTTAAATACAATGTATACATTGTTAAAATGAATACTGTAATAACACAATTAAGACACAAGCATTTCTTTACAAACGTTTATTTACTATGACGTAGGACCTATGATAGGCCTACTGAACTACGGAAATGTGAGATAGGTAACATGGGAACGGGCATGGAAAGCGTCACACCAGTATTTTTTATAAGCGCCGCTCTTGAATAAGTGCAGCTCTCGAATAAGCGCCGCACTGAAGCCTCCAAAAATTTTATAAGCGCATCAGTGCTTATTTTATTCAAGCATTTAGGGTATGTTAAAATAGAATATGGACTTTTCAAAATTACCATTATGCAAAGCACTCTACAGTTCTTTAGCCCACCATATTTGTATAATACAGTAATATTAATGACATTAACTTTGAAGCACTTTGTATCAATAAGATTTTTTCTTTACCTTTTTAATTACCATCAACTTTTACCCTAAGTTTACCTGTACATTTGTGCATATCGCAATCCAAAATCCTTTTCGTTCTTCTTTGCTCCAAATTTGTTGACCCAAGCAGCATGTTTAAGTAAAGCACCATTCCTGAGGCAAAAATAAAAACTCTGTCCATAAAATCAAAATTTATGTGACAAATATGGGCGCTGTGTCCATATATGTGCATGATATATCATATTACACCCAAATATCGCAGTTAAATATTTGTCACATAAAATTTGATAGTTTGTGAAAAGCTTAAATATTAATGAATACTTAAATATTATCATTACTGTTTTTGTGCTTCAGTGATAAAACTTTTAAAATTTTGGTCCTGTTTGCAATACGAGCAATGTGCATTTTCAAGAATGCAGCACACTCTTCCAAGCAAAATGCAAGACTGTCTCTCTGTGTCCTTTTCACCATCAGAAAAATTCCGCTGTATGCAAGTCTTTGGTCTTTGGTGGATTACACTTGGTGTGTTCACACCAAAAAAGTAACAAAAAAATCCAAATCCAAAAAACACCCCCTCCCCAAAAAAAGGGGGAAAAAAAAACATAACATACTTAATTTCTGTCTACACTATCAAATGTTATGACATGCCCATATTTGGGTGTTATATGACATCATAATGCCCATATATGGTCACATCACACAAATTTGTCATAAAATTTAATAGTGCATTAAACATTAATATAAACAGAGCATTAAAATATTAATATATATATATTTAATTTCTTTTATAAATGAATGAATGATAAAAACTATAATAAAGTAATATCAAGAATAATTTTTTTTCAATATGATATTGACCCATGATGCAAGAGCATCACTAGTGGTACTTACGCTGATCGATAGTGCTTGAGTTGTCCCTCCGTCATTGCTCCATACAGTAATTCACGAAGCACACTTGTCTTTTGCAGCCACTCAATTAATCCCAGGCTTTCAATGAAAAACAATTTGTTGTATACATCATAAATTTGTTGACATTACAATTCCGATACTGTATTAAGACGAAAAATGTTTTTAGTTTGTATCTGTAGGTCCACCGTAAATGAACAAATAAGTATGGCATTCCTTCAAGCAAAGCATTTATTCAGGAGCTACACATATTACAAAAAAAATTAGAGTGTTAAAATGGTACATGGTGGTGTATGTTGGCTTATCCACTAATTAATACATGCGGAAGTGCTTATTTCAAAGCAGCGCTTAGTGAAAAAAAATCATGTTTTGTTTGGTCCATATTCAATAGTTCTTATTCAGTCATTTAAGGTAAAGTTGAAAGTTGATCTCTGGGCCGCATTAACTATCACTTTTTCCTTTGCATTAATTGACAAGACTGTTCAATGCCAAAGGTGATTTTTACAACTCTTCCAACAACTCTTACCAATTTCTACTCTTGGGTAGAAGAGGGACAAATGCAAGTGACTAGCACAGCAGAGGTTTCAAATCCTCTGACCTCACAAGTCACCCCTGCTTTGCACAATCATGTATAGAAATGTAACAATTTCTTTTTACAGCATTCATTAATATGTCACTGTCATTGTGACTCACCAACAGCAGTAGCAATCATCTAGTTTATATGAAAACATAAATCAGAAATACCTAGGTGTCATGGGGATGACTTGATAAGTTTTAAGTTTTAACCCACGCTGACAACAGGTGGCGTCCTTGTCCAGTATCTCGTTCATGAGCGTGAAGAGCTGCTCTACTCGCTGATCCAAACGAAGATCCTCTCCTCCCTTCACCAGGAACATATACTCCCTCTCGTCGGTGCCACGAATTATAATTCGTTTGGGTTTCCTTAGAGATGACAACACTAGAACCTAAGAATTACAGTACAAGAAAGATGATTGAAAATTTGCAAAGTAGGTAAAGCATATATTAATCTGCTTATTCATTTTAACAAATGTAAAACCCAGTGTCAAGCACTGCTCCCTTTGGGGCCTTCAAACAGGAACAAGAATATAAAATCCACAAGACAAACATATACACATGATGCTCTTTATAAATTGTCCATTCTATAATTACTTGTTCCCCAAGACCAGCTATAGTCACATGATAAGCTGAAAATTAAATCCACAGCCTCCGAATCCAAATGTTTGGACAACCTCTTTCCCAGGGACAGAAAAACTGGGAACAGGGGGAACGGACAGTTCAGGGACAGCCGGCGCTTATTTCAACCCTGCAAAAACCTCCTTAGCATCACAACTCACCTGCTCGGACACCAATGCAGGTTCAAGGGGACTTGACAGAGACGAGGAACCCACCGGCCCTGAACCGGACGCGGAAGAGAAAAGTCTGTTGCAATGACCTTCGACACCGCCTGCAACAAACTCCCACACCGAGCAGCAGCCGGAGCAGCCAGTCAAGAATCGCCACAAAGGGCACTCCGGGTGTCTACCAAGCTTAACACTTGGTTTGGAACCCCCACGCACCGAGCACAAAGACTTGAGCACGGACATAGCGATCTACTGACTACTAAATCAAAAAGTAAAACAAAGGATGTGTTGCTAAAAATTTCTTGAAAATCAAATCCGTAATTCCAAAGAATAAAATACCCAATTCAAGAATCTTCTTGCAAAGAAATTATTCACAACGCAGAAACACAATTTCTCATTTCTAAATTCACGTGGCTTATCATAGCTAATCCTTAGCCTCAAAAGGGAGTACCTTATACGAACACCATAGAATATGGAATGACTATTGTTAGGGAGACGGTTCGTACGTGGCACCCTGGGATGGACTGTTCTATTTTTTCCAAAGGGTGTGTTACATTTCGGAAACAATGGCATTTGATTTATCCAGGTAAATATTCATGAAATAAATTTATATTTTATAATTACTTGTTCCCCGAAACCAGCTATTGTCACGTGATGAGATAGAAGTGGTTTGGTCTTGCCATCATATTGGCCTGCAAAATAAAACAGTTAAATTTTGTAAAAATCTGTTTTTATGGCATGAGAAAATAAAGAAGAATTGTAGTAAATGCTGGACATTCTTGATCAAGGAAATGTAGTAATAAAATAGAGCAAAAAAAATTTGATGAAGGATAAGTGATACGGATTCATATTAAATACACGATAAGGTTATAAATTCAATTCTCACCCGGTATTTCAAGCTCTTGATCTGGGTTGATCGTCTGGAAATCAAGGAACCAAGTGGAATATTCTTTGATGTTAGCTGGCACTATTCTCTTCTTTTCTGTGATTTCTTGCAGGATCTTCTGACAGCTTTGACTTACATTCTAAAAAGAAGTAAAATCACTTTAATTTGTAGCATTCAAATGATAGACCCCATTGTTTAATCAATCAAACTTCCTCTTAAAATCTAGTACGTGATAACTTTATCCTAAAAGAAAGATAAAGAAATTGAAGAATTATAATATTAATAAAAAATATTAATATATTCAGGTTGTTCTGAGTACATTCCACTTATATAATAATACAACTGGTTTTATATGGCAATGACAATATTCCATGTCCTGTTTAATGATTGTGTTAATTATACATTTTTCTCATGTTACAGTTGCAAAGAATAACATTCTCCGAGAGATCAGGCTTAAGATGAGAATTAGGGAACAGAAAAAGCTACAGGCAACTAATGAGACAAAGGATAATTGAAAGTAATTATGCAGGAAATTCTAAAATAGCGCAATGGAATTTTTAATGTAAATTCGAAGAGAAAATTTAAGAGAACATTGGCATTCCTTTGGGTCATCAAGTTTCTTACAAAATTTAAGTGCCACGGATATATCAAAAATAATTCTGTAATACCAATTCAACCACCACCATAAGGTATATAAAGAATACTTGTATCAGCATTGTCATCATGCCTAGGCTTAACCAGAGAGGGTCCTTTCTAGGGCCTGGCCTTATGTCATATCTGCAAATGTCAAAGGTTTCTGTGAACACGATAAGAAGAATCAGATTAAACAAAAAATTCTAGAAAAAGCAAGGCCGAAAAACGCAAGATCTTACAACTTACCTGGCGTTTCATTTTCACCAACCTACTACCACCAATTCCAAATTCAGAAATCACTTTCTTTTGAAAATCCTACATTAAAAAAACAGAATGGAATAATGGAATTTAATACTTCAATTTCATATCATGTATTTAATTAAATTCAAATGGCCCAAAACCTTTGTCAACAACGAAGCATGATAACATGAATGTGTCTGCAAACCAGACAATAAATGCATCTGCAATTGAGACACAAGTTTATAAAATAACTAAAATTCCAGGCCTGTGAATCACAAAAAGTTTTTGTAGAATCCAAACCTCGCATCTTAAGCAAATCGCTCTCTGATAAACCAAATCACTCCTCTATTGTATCAAAAACCCCCCAAAAAATTCACAACATTCACCATTTACATTATAGAAATATTAATTTCCAAGAACTCAAAACCCCTACTGCGACATTCATAAAAGTTCTTCTCCTTGACACAAACAAGTTACAGTAGGTCCTTTTCGGACTCTATCGGTTATAGAAGACTCCTCCCTAAATACGAAATTGTTGCTGCATTTCCATATATTCATGAGGAAATAATTACACACTCATCCTTTTATGCAAAAACTGCACCATCCTGGGCACAGTTTATGTGATTGGATTTGGTGCTGAGCATATAACCTAATCTATATATAGTTAATGCACAGTACTGCACCTGAGCAAATTTGCGCCTGAAGTTTCCAAACACGACACCACTTAGACCATTGTTAGCTTGACTTGCATTGTAGTCGAATAAGGCTGAGTACATGTCGCTGTACGACTTCAAAATGGCGTCTTTATCTAGCACAGTAGCCTGGAACAACTGTTTTACTTCCTTAATCCAGTCCTGATATGAAATTTAAATTGTAAAAAAACACAGAATTAATCTGACTGTTAAATATGTTAAGGCAATATTTAAATTCTAAGAGAATAGTCAAATGCAAACATTCTAAAATAAACCAAGTCATACCGAAAAGCACCAATAACTCATTTATTAAAAATGCATTGCCCATGCAAAATACCAAAAAAAAAAAAATAATAAAAATCATTTTTGAAATTAACTTGGCCATTTTTAAATAACATAAAAATTATTCATTTAAACATAGAAACTAGTGAATTTCGAAAATGTTTACCCATCACTTTACAGTGAAAATGACAGAAACACATCCAGTCACTGGTGTTTTATTATTTTTATTATAATTATCCAGTATAAAAATCAGGGTACACATTAATTTAGTAATCTTGATGCTCAAGTTAATAATTTGTATGTTACTGCAAAATGAGCAAGTTAAATTCAAAATAATTTTTTATGATTTTTTGTCATTTTTAAAGGGACAATACAATAAATTTTTCAATAAAAAAAATGCATGTGTATTATTTAAATAAAATTAATAATAATATTTGTTAACAATTAAATATATTATACATTAGATACAGTAACAAGAACAAATAGTTTTGATAAAAACTGCACCTCATGAAATACTTGTGTTTTCTCAGCTCAATAATGGAGTATGGTTGCCTATGTCGACACAGATCAATTACATAGGTTATGAAGGCTGTGTTACTCAAGTCCTATATATAATGTTTTTTACAAGAAAATGTAAATTTAATATGTAGCCTTACCTTAAAAAGATGATCAGGATTGCTGAGCTGGTTAAGAGCATTTATCAGGCTCTCTATCATCGGAACCTTCATCAGCTCGTTACGGATTCTCTCCACAGCTTCAGCGTTCTTCACTCCGACATCCATGCTCTTGTCAAATTGGAAGTTATCACTGCTAATCTTGAATGGGTAACACAAAGCCTGTAACACCAAAAAGAAGAATTACGCAAAATTAATATGGCTTACCTTGTTAATCCCATCATGGAATTTTATAGCTTATATATAACTACCTCGTTAATCCCACGATGCAATTTTGCTAAATCAATATAGCTGCCTTGTCAACCTCATCTTTGTATTCTACATTTAACATCAGTCAATCATAGTTACCAACCGTCTTGTATCGTGCAGGACGGTCCCAAACTTCAAAGTCATTTTGGATGAAACACATTTTGCACAAGTCTATGCGTGATAACGAATTATTACAAATTCAGAGGAAAATGTATTTAAAATTAAAAGAAATTGGTTTTATTAAAAATGTAAAAACGGTCATGCAGTAACCTGAGTCATTAGAGAACCATGCACTTAGCAGAATTTAGGATGTGTGTGTCGTTTTACATGTTCATTGTGACAACCAAAAGTTGATTATATGACTAAAACCTGGACACTCAAAAGTTGTTTTTAAATTTAGGAGATGGTCTCATACCTGGAATAGACTTAGGAAGGCCAAGGAACTAAGGTAAATTACACAAATCAGAAGTATTCACAAAATAGACAAATTATTTGCATATGGCTGCCTTGTTCAGTCATACAATACCTGGGGGTAATCTTTGGCAATGGCCATTAGGATGCCGTGGACGCAATGACCCGAGTCCTTATCCAACAGCGCCACCATCTGACTGATCCAGCTAATGAACATCCAACAGGGTACACTCCCAGACTGCAAAATAAACAAACATCGGATGAGCATGTCAATTATACTCAGGCCTGGAAAATTTTTTTTGTGAATCCAACCATGAAAATTATCCCTGTGCCTACATGTATAAATCACATTCAATCTCTAAAGCCTTGCCCAGACTATTAAATACTATTTAACAAATACATGTGACACGCCTAAATATGGTGATGATGACATCACATCATGACCATATATAGGCACATCATGACTATATATGGGCACATCATGACCATATATAGGCACAGCATGACTATATATGGTCAACATCATGACCATATATAGGCACATCATGACTGTTAAATATGTTAAGGCAATATTTAAATTCTAAGAGAATAGTCAAATGCAAACATTCTAAAATAAACCAAGTCATACCGAAAAGCACCAATAACTCATTTATTAAAAATGCATTGCCCATGCAAAATACCAAAAAAAAAAAAATAATAAAAATCATTTTTGAAATTAACTTGGCCATTTTTAAATAACATAAAAATTATTCATTTAAACATAGAAACTAGTGAATTTCGAAAATGTTTACCCATCACTTTACAGTGAAAATGACAGAAACACATCCAGTCACTGGTGTTTTATTATTTTTATTATAATTATCCAGTATAAAAATCAGGGTACACATTAATTTAGTAATCTTGATGCTCAAGTTAATAATTTGTATGTTACTGCAAAATGAGCAAGTTAAATTCAAAATAATTTTTTATGATTTTTTGTCATTTTTAAAGGGACAATACAATAAATTTTTCAATAAAAAAAATGCATGTGTATTATTTAAATAAAATTAATAATAATATTTGTTAACAATTAAATATATTATACATTAGATACAGTAACAAGAACAAATAGTTTTGATAAAAACTGCACCTCATGAAATACTTGTGTTTTCTCAGCTCAATAATGGAGTATGGTTGCCTATGTCGACACAGATCAATTACATAGGTTATGAAGGCTGTGTTACTCAAGTCCTATATATAATGTTTTTTACAAGAAAATGTAAATTTAATATGTAGCATTACCTTAAAAAGATGATCAGGATTGCTGAGCTGGTTAAGAGCATTTATCAGGCTCTCTATCATCGGAACCTTCATCAGCTCGTTACGGATTCTCTCCACAGCTTCAGCGTTCTTCACTCCGACATCTATGCTCTTGTCAAATTGGAAGTTATCACTGCTAATCTTGAATGGGTAACACAAAGCCTGTAACACCACAAAGAAGAATTACGCAAATTTAATATGGCTACCTTGTTAATCCCATCATGCAATTTTATAGCTTATATATAACTGCCTTGTTAATCCCACGATGCAATTTTGCTAAGTCAATATAGCTGCCTTGTCAACCTCATCTTTGTATTCTACATTTAACATCAGTCAATCATAGTTAACAACCGTCTTGCATCGTGCAGGACGGTCCCAAACTTCAAAGTCATTTTGGATGAAACACATTTTGCGTGATAACGAATTATCACAAATTCAGAGGAAAATGTATTTAAAATTAGAATAAATTGGTTTTATTAAAAGTATAAAAACGGTCATGCAGTAACCTGAGTCATTATAGAACTTTCGTTGTCTTGTTCGAGAATCAATTCAACAGGAAAATTTCTTTATCCTGACCAAAACAACCCACACAACCATGCACTTAGCAGAATCTAAGATGTGTGTGCGGTTTTACATGTTCATTGTGACAACCAAAAGTTGATTATATGACTGAAACCTGGACACTCACCAGGGCTTTTAAATTTAGGAGATGGTCTCATACCTGGAATAGGCTTAGGAAGGCCAAGGAACTAATGTAAATTACACAAATCAAAAGTATTCACAAAATTGACAAATCATTTGCATATGGCTGCCTTGTTCAGTCATACAATACCTGGGGGTAATCTTTGGCAATGGACATTAGGATGCTGTGGACGCAATGACCCGAGTCCTTATCCAACAGCGCCACCATCTGACTGATCCAGCTAATGAACATCCAACAGGGTACACTCCCAGACTGCAAAATAAACAATCATCGGATGAGCATGTCAATTATACTCAGGCCTGGAAAATTTTTTTTGTGAATCCAACCACGAAAATTATCCCTGTGCCTACATGTATAAATCACATTCAATCTCTAAAGCCTTGCCCAGACTATTAAATACTATTTAACAAATACATGTGACACGCCTAAATATGGTCATGATGACATCACATCATGACCATATATAGGCACATCATGACTATATATGGGCATACAACAGTTTTTTTTGTCAAAGAAATTGTTATAGTCTACACAGAGATGAAGACCATCTTCATCCCACCTTCTCTATAAACTCCTTTGCAGCGTCTGGATTATCTTCCACCAGCTGGAGCAGCCTGGGGAACCTCTGCATTGCCTCTGTTGACCCGTGTCTCATTGCCTGAAGGATGTTTGTTACTATAGCCACTGGAAATACTTCGATATTCTGCAGGGTCAGCTTCTCATCTTTAAAACAAATACATACACACACAATTGACTATTATAATTAGTGAAATAATTACAGTCACTACACTGGGGAATACAATAGATTCAAACATTTAGCAGTTAATTCAGGATGGATACTTGACCCAATCAGGGAAATAACACCCTTGCCGAAAGATGGGTACCAGGATCATTTTGACCTGGGAGGAAAGTGCCTGTTATTTGATTTGATTTCTCCAGTGTAATACGCACTAAGTATAACCCATGAAAGTCCTACGACTTATCTTCAGCGGGGTCCTTCTGGCGGTAAATTGGGCAGGAGACAATCCCCTACTCTCTTCCGAAGAGTGTACTGCGTTCTTTAACATGCATATGGATTCTTTTTGCACACAGGACCAATGGCTTAAACATCTCCTCCGAAAGACAGTGAGTTTTTGAAGCCTGCATTTCAGCCCTCCAGCTGAAGACAATGAGAGCAGTGATGGCAACTGGAACCAGGGAGTAAGAGATCTCCACGGTTCAGCGCACACACAGTGGCTACCACCAGTCTAGCCGCCTGAGCTAGCTGTCCAACCTTTGGTGACATGTGTCCAACCTTGGGTGACATGTATTCATTCATTTATAAAAATTTAAAAAACAGATCTCTCTTAACGGTTGTGTATACGTCAACCATTCTCATGGAAAATGACAGCCAAGTGTCTTCAAAATGGTGACACCTAGTGGAGCAAATAACAAGTAAGAAATCCCTATTTTAACAAAGATAAGAATGATTTGTATTTGCGAGGCCAACAAAAGTTTCTGTCACCATACCTTCTTCCTGGCATCTGAGAACTTTGTCACAGTACAAAGCCATGGCCATGTGAGCTTCACTAGCTACAGACTGGGCATCAGATGTTGCATCCTGGGACGTACAATTCACAGCCTTTTTAAGGTGAGAGTAGGCCATGTTGAGCATGCCATCAGCAACCTGGAAGAACAGTACACATACAGTGTAGGGTAAAAACAGTACTGCATTAAAGTCCCAGTGAATTGCATACCCACATCATAACAGTATTAAGCATGCAAGCTAGAACAAACAAATCCCTGAGGCCTTTTTTATACTTTTATACCCTTACTTTTATACCCTTAATACAAATCTTATACTTGTACTCTACCTTTCTTGGATCATCCGATTGTACGTTGATCAGCTCTTTTAACCTCTGTAGTTTATTAGCATTTATTTCTTGCATAACTGCACCACCTAGAGTTATATATACAAAAAATGTTATATGGTGCTTTTCACTTCATATATGAGTCTTGGACATTGGATCTATATTAGCAATATGTGAAACCTCCTCCACTCTTTGGGGAGTAAGTCATACAACACTGGATTGTCCATAGACCAAAGTATTGAATATTACAACATCCTACAAGAGTTCCAATTTATATGTCTGGGTGGAAAGAGTTGTGGTTTGGATTACTATACTTTCCATGTAGCAGTTCAGCACAGTGGTAACAGATTGGTTTCCTAACCTTGAGGTCAAGATTTCAAGTGTGTTGAATTTCGCTTCAATTCACTTTATCCATGTTGTGTCTAAACAGGAGTATACATTAGGTGGGGCATCTAGGAGTTTTCAAGTGTCAATGCACTGGTGTACTGCATGCACCAAATTAAGGAATACTCTCCCAGGGAGCTGAGTATGTGTTCCTTAGGGATTGTTCCAATGGTTCCAACGACTGGTGTAATAATGCGAAACACTCTGAGACTTACAGTAGTGG